TGCCAGCTCTGGGTTGGGACATGCCTGGAGATTTGAGGGGTGGAGCCTGGGGAGGGGGGGTCGGGGAGGGGGGGGCTCAGCAGGGTATCATGCCCTAGAGTCCACTCTCCAAAGCGGCCATTGTATCTAGGGGTACTGCTCTTGGTCAGCTGGAGATCAATTGTAATAGTGGGAGATCTCCAGGTGCCACCTGGATTTTGGCAACCCTGGCTGCAGATAAGTGTCCCTAGCAGCTTTTCAAATGGCTTTTTTTTTTTTAATGGCGGGACGAGAAAGCAATGACTTGATCTGAGAGCTGTTGCACCTAGAATATAAAGCGTCGGGGCATCCTGTGCAATAGCGCCGTCTGTTTGTTTTGTTTTTTGAAGGTGAGCCTTGCACAGTTAGCCGGGGTGTGATGTGAAGCATGGAAGTAATGTGCAATGTCACACGGCCGGTTCCAATGTGGAGTTTTGTACTTGAGCATACCTTTTGGAGATATGTATTGTGTATTTCTGCACACCACCCTGGCTATTTCATGTTGGTCTTCCTTCCAAAAGGACTGGGGGGAGGGGGGGCTATTGCACATATTCTTTCACACAGGCAACAAAACTGAACAGCCTGGGCGCAATAACCTGCGCTTTCACACACGGCAAATCATGCCGTTTCAGTTCACTTCTGCGATCGTTCGCAAGTGGCTTTTGCCGTTTTCACACGGTGACATCCAGTTGCCAAGTGCATTGAAAGTGGATCGAAAGTGTGTTATTTAGTGTGTGCGAAAGCGCCCAGAGCTGTGTCTGCTGTGGTTGAAACGGAGACAGAGAAGTCCAATAACCTGGCCTGTTACTTTAGGAGGATTCTACAGTGTGGCTTGTGATACTGACGGTAAATGCTCTTTCCTTCTCTCTTTTGTTTTCCAGACATTTATAGTGCTGAACAAAGGGAAGACAATCTTTCGATTTAGTGCCACTCCTGCCTTGCATATACTTAGTCCTTTCCACCGAGTTAGAAGAGCAGCAATTAAAATTTTGGTACATTCATATCCTTTCACATGGATTTTCTCCTTCGGAATTCGGCCCAGTGCGAAAGGACGTGGGTTAAGTTGTTCTCTGTCTTATTGCTCCCCTTTGTCAAAGTGAATTGCAGGGCTTTGTGCCTTTGGGCATTCAAATTGGGTACAAATCAGAAACTGGCATTGTTGTGTGTGTGTTTTTTTAAGTAATGTAGCGATGCCTACTCAATGTCAGCTGGTGGGCATGGTGGCTTAGGGGTACAGTGCTCATCTTGCCTGCCAGAGGTCCCATGATTAACCCCTGGGATTCCCAGCTAAATGATCCCGAGATGCATGATGGGAAAGCTTGTCCCCTGTCCGACAGACGCTGCCTGTCAGAGTAGACAATACTGAGCTAGATGGACCAAGCATCTGACTGTAAAGGAGAGCTTACTAAACTCATGTGCATGTATTTTAGTGGGGGGGAATGGGATATAATCTGGTTTGCTTGCATATACTGTGCACATACAGCCACAATCGCATTTCCATGCTCAGCCAACGAAATTTCTGCACTCCCGAAAAGCTGAATTCTGTGACCTGAAGAAATTACACAGACATGAAATTGACACAATGTCCCCTTTCCCTGTAATACATTCCAAGTTTGCTGAATAACCACAAAGGTTACTCCGCCATCCCTTTGGCTTTTGAAATGTCAGCACTCCTTCAGGCCTAAGGGCTGGAATCTTTTTTTTTTTTTAATGAAAGCTGAGGTTTTCAGGAAGCTGGATTCTGTGCCTGGTATTTCCTTCTGTGGTTCTCCACACTCAGTCAAACATCGCCCCAAATTCCACAGTGTTCACCCAAGATGGGTCGCCATATTAGTCTGTCTGTAGCAGTCGAAAAGAGCAAGAGTCCAGTAGCACCTTAAAGACTAGCAGAATATGTGGCAGGAGATGAGCTTTCGTGAGTCACTGCTCACTCCTTCAGCAACAGCTAGAATGGGAGTCCGTCTGTCTTATTTATTGGAAAGTGAAGTGATTTCAGATGCTGAATGACATTAGCAGGCGAATGACAATAGCAGGATTTAGGTGAGATATGCAGAGGGGTAATAGGTGTGGAGAAATCAGTTGGTAATGAGACAGGAAACCTAGATCTCAATTCAGTCCAGGTGGATGCATTGTCTCTGAGCTTTACTGTCTCACTACCAGTACTGATTTCTCCAAGCCTATTACACCTCTGCATATCTCACTTGCATTCAATCACACCTGCTACTGTCATTCGGCATCTGAAATCACTCCACTCTGCAGTAAATAGGACAGATGGACTCCCATTCTAGCTGTATCCAAAGAAGTGAGCAGTGACTCATGAGCGCTCATCTCCTGCTGCATATTTTGTTAGTCTCTAAGGTGCTACTAGACTCTCTTGCTCTTTTCTACTGTGTTTGCCCAGCTTGTGACTTGGCATTGTCTGCTAGTATCAGCATAATTCGGACTGCAATCTTTCAAAAAAGAACATTCGGCCCTGCTCTTGTGCATTTAAGAGCAGCCTGACCCAGATATTCAACAGGTGAATCCCCCCCCCCTGCATGCCGATCAATGAGAAAGGCTTTGCCTGGATTTCGGCCAGAACTAGTTAAAGGCATCATGGTGCCTTGGAGAGGAAGAATGTTCTACAGTTTCCTAGGGTGGTAACAATTTAGGAGTGTCTGTTCCCAAACAGATTATCTGATTTAGCTTTGCAGCTACCAGTGGTTTGCTATAGGGTTTACAGTGCAAATGACATTCAGACCAGTATGTAGCTTGGATCCCACCTAGATTTTTGTGGGCACAAGGGGGGGAATACCTCTGATTCCCCCCATAAGCTATTCCTGGGAGTCTCCAAACTCCGAGATGCAGCATTTCAACATTTTCTCCCAAAATACTAGAACTCGAGGGCATCCAATAAAGATAATGGGCAGCAGGATAAGGACAGACAAACAGAAGTACTACTTGACCCAGGGAGTGATTAAAACGTGGAATTCACTGCCAGAGGAGGTAGTGATGGCCACAGGAATAAAAAGCTTAAAAGGGGATGAGAATAGATTCTTGGAGGATATGTCTAACAGTGGCTATTAGCCGTGGTGGCTTGGGGGAACCTCCGCATTCAGAGTCACTAAGCCCCTGGATCCCAGAGCCAGGAGGCAACATCAGGGGAAGGCCTCAGCCTCTGTGTTGTTGTTGGCTATCCAGAGGAGCCGGTTGGCCACTGTGTGAACAAAAAAGGAAATCACACAGCAGTATAGTAGTCACAACAATGGGGAAAAGCTGTGAAGCAGGACACAATAGAACTAGTAACAATGTTAATATATTGGACAGATACAATGTGTGCAGTTCATGACTGTAATCCTTGCACAATAAAGCACAATGATACTAAATATGAATCTTCTGATACACAATGAAATATTCCATAAAATTCTCTTTCCAAAGTAGTTCTTTCCAACAAAGAATCCGGATACTGAAGGCTTCGTTTCGATAATCTTCCTCAAGAAAATCACTACTCTAAGTATTTCAAAGGCATCAAGTTCCAGAAAACTATATAGCTTCAGACTACTAATGTAGAAGGAACTGCCTATTGTAAATATTTCAGGGGCATAAGTTTCCAGAAAACTGTATAGCTTCAGACTATTGATATAGAAGGAACTGCCCTCCCAGGGTATTCAAGGAGATTTGCAGTGACAATTTTATTTCTATTGATGGGCCACCAGCAACACTTTTTAGAAACCATTCTGTATTAATCTTGAGCTGGTGTAGCCTTGAGGGAGATTATAGAAACAAAGCAGTATCTGGATTCTTCATTGGAAAGAGCTGGGATCGGGGGAAGAATCTAAAGAGGAAGAAACTAAGTCAAGTGACTCAGCTGCCTCGGGAATGGATGAGGACTCTGCTGCAGAAGCGGGTGCAGGAGCAATGAAAACTGTATATGATTTTAGAGACAGAAAGCCGAAGTAAGGGCAGAAGGACTCTGATAAATGGCTCTTTGAAATAAAGAAGATGCTCAGAAAGTTCTCTCATAATAACTAATTTACTAATACAGAACAATGTGGAAAACAAGAACTCTACAAGTATATTGTTTTACTAACTCTTTTAATACTAATATTAAGATTAACATAAAGGGGGTCTCCCACTCTTGGGTTTTTGGTTAGTGTGGGTTTCTTTCCTTTATCCATAGTTGTAGTTCCCCTTCCTATATTTTTCTTTGTAGTTTGTAGTCTTATTGAAAAAATAAAAATACCCCTCCGGGGGTTTCAGAAAGGAAGGAAGGAAGGAAGGAAGGAAGGAAAAGACTCGAGGACAGTCAGAAAGAAAGTAAGGAAGGAAGGAAGGAAGGAAGGAAGGAAGGAAGGACGGACTTTGGAAAGAGGATTTTATGGAATATTTCATTGTGTATCAGAAGATTCATATTTAGTATATTGTGCTTGATTGTGCAAGGATTATATTCATGTACTGCACACATTGTATCTGTCCAATATATTAACATTGTTACTAGTTTTACTGTGTCCTGCTTCAGAGCCTTTTCCCATTGTTGTAGCCACTGTGTGAGACAGGATGCTGGACTAGGTGGACTATTGGTCTGATCCAGCAGGGCTCTTCTGATGTTCTTACAACTGATCTTCAGAGAGCAGTTCCTCTGGAGAAAATGGTTGCTTTAAAGGGTGGGCTTTATGGCCTCATATCCTGCAGAGGTCCCTCCTCTCCCCAAATCCCACCCTCCCCAGGCTCTTCTCGTAAATCTCCAGGATTTTTTCCAACCTGGAAAGGTAATGGAACCAGGAAATGGGGTAGCTGAACCACGTATAAAAGACAAAGAAAGGGGAAGGCAAGGAAGGGAGTTGTTCTGCGCTTTCCCTGGTAGAAATCCAATAAATAAATAAATAAATCAGTCAAGGAGTCCAAGCGGCTCAGAGAAGGAAGAACTTTTAACACAATGGCCTCCTTTCCGAGGTCTGTAGCCACAGCTGACTGGGGCCTGCTTCCCCTGGTTTCGTTGCTGCAAATGTGTCTATTTAGTGCTATTTTCTCTTTCACAGGGAAGAAAATAAGGAAAAACAGGGAGCCAGAGTGCTCGGTAATACCCAAACCTTGGAAGGAAATCGACCGTCATTGAAATTCATGTCGCATCGTCCTGTCTGCTCAATTCTGAAATATTTGCCCATAAATATGTACCACTCTTAGACAGCCGTACTCAGGTAGCACCTTCTGACTGTTTCTGCGGTTACATTAGGTTGGTCTACACATCTCCAATATGCATATGTGCAATGTTCAGGGCATTTATAAAGAAAGAAACAAAGGCTCGCATTTGATTATCAGTGGCCCTGGTTGTTAAGTCCTGAGCTTAACAAAGAGTCAGAGAGTGATTTCAGCCAAAACTCAAGTTTATTCTTCTTCACGATCACTTCTCCACCACGGTACAACATCTGATAGCCCGAACAGTTTGCCCATTGAAACTGCTTGGTATTTAAACATTCCCGGCTAATATAGCCACTCCTACTTTACAGATAACAACCTATCAGGTTGATCGCATAAGGACCAATCACACACGTTCCCGCTTCCAGCTTGCTTGAATGTGATTGGACGCATTTGTCTTGGACTTGAATCCCTGTCCAAGACGAAGCTTTACATTGCTTCCCAATGAGATGTTTCACATTGCATCTAATGCATTCATGGCAGCATCTGAATACATTACACTGGTCACACGAGAGGTTTTGGGCCAGGAGAGGAAAGGATCGGGGGGCGCAGCAAATGGGCGCGATCCCACAGCAACATCTGGGAAGCGTGGCGCGCCCGTTCCCAATCCGGCCCTTCCACCCAAAACATAAAAAATAAACCACCTACCTAGGTGGTTCTTCGGGAAAGGGCGCATCAAGGCCGGCCGTGGGATCGCCGGTGCGTCCTTCCACCGGCGCATCCCCGGCTCCTGGCCGAACTGCAGATGCACAGACATGCGCAGTTCGGCAGCCTCCCCCTCCCGACTGTCGCTTCCTCCCCGGCATCTGATCGTGCCGGGGAGCAACGGCGCCACGGCTCAGGGGATCCGTGGGATCCCGCCGTGGCATCTCTATTTTGGTGCGGCTTTTAAAAGCCACACTTTGCCCGTTTTTTTTCCTGCCGTATGGCAGGGTCCAGTAAAGATTTTCTGAATGGGGTGCTTTAACGTGTACTTCTTTCCCTGTCCTTTAGATTAGGGGGGGGCAGTTACTGCATATTCCAAAATCACTTGAGAAGGAAAGGAGGAGGAGGAGGAGGAGATTGGGTTTATACCCCACCCTTCACTACCCAAAGGAGTCTCAGAGCGGCTTACAAACTCCTTTCCCTTCCCCTCCCCACAGCAGACACCCTGTGAGGTAGGCGGGGCTGAGAGAGCTCTGAGAGAAACGGCTCTTTTTCACGAACAGCTCTTGTCAGAACTACGGCTTGCCCAAGGTCATCCAGCAGCTGCAAGTGGAGGAGTGGGGAATCAAACCCGGTTCTCCCATATTAGAGTCCGTGCACTTAACCACTACACCAAACTGGCTCTATACTGTGGTCCCTGACCGGCTAGGATGTTTAACAATGAATACTGCGCAATGTGAATAGCTAACCCATTGTGAAGACCTTGGGTCCTGTTATTAGTCAACATGGAATGTTTCCAGCAAGAGTTGATAAGTAGTATTTGATAAGAACTGGGATTGCTATACGCTCAGGATAAGTAAATATTGCAAAACGAATGTTCACATTACGCAGTATTCGTTAACGTGTGAGCGATGACAGAAGGATATTCCGTACAGAGCTACAGAAATACTTCAGTAAATGTCTTTGCAACTTATCTTTATTGACTCTTCGTTATTTTTTTCACGGGTGTTGTATTTGGAGTTCCACCTCTTCCTGTGATCTCTCATTTTGGTTCTCATGTGAAGGTTGGCAGCCCTCCATTCAAATAAATTATAGCCCAGTTGAAATTTGTGTCATGAAAGTGTCAGGGTGTCATGAAAGGAGGGGTTGGGTGTCTGTTCCAAGTCGAGGAAAGATATATATTTTTTCCAGTTTGGAAGTAGAATCCTCCTAAATTAAAGAATTTCCCCCTGATTCGGGATAACGAAGACCTGAACCCTGCCTTTAAAAGGTAAAGGTTCCCTTGCTCGAAAGCCAGTCGAATCCGACTCTAGGGTTGCGGTGCTCATCTCCGTTTCCAAGCTGAAGAGCCAGCGCTGTCTGAAGACATTTCTGTGGTCATGTGGCCGGCATGACTAAACACCAATGCGCACGGAACACTGTTCCCTTCCCACTGAAGTATTTATCTACTTGCAATGTCTTGCTTTCGAACTGCTAGGTTGGCAGGAGCTGGAACTAGAGATGGGAGCTCACTCCGTCATGCAGCACCCGGGTCTTGAACTGCTTAACTACCGACCTTCCACAGCCTGCTGTTCAGCATCTTAACCACTTGAGCCACCACAGCTCCACTGAACCCTGCCTTAGGTAGAGTGTAATGCTTTTAATTGCTTACAGAGTTTTAACGTTTATCTTTTAGTCTTCTGTCACCGGGTTACACATGAAAGGTTGCTGAATTATACGAAACCGATTAACAGAATTTCCTTTCCGACACATGAATGCAGGGACTGTGATC